AATCAGAAAGAATATTCAGACGGCTCAGAGCAGGCAAAAGAGTTATGCAGACACCCGAAAGAGAGATCTAGCATTTGAGAAAGGCGACCGGGTGTTCCTTAAGGTCACTCCTTTCAAGGGAATTAGTAGGTTCGGCAGGAGGAAAAAATTAAACCCCCAATTTATTGGACCTTTAGAAATCTTAGACAGGATTGGTACTGCTGCCTACAGACTAGCACTGCCTCCAAAGCTCTCCAAGGTCCACAATGTGTTCCACGTATCCATGCTATATAAGTATAACCTGGACCCCTCTCATGTCTTGGCTTATGAACCGCTTCTACTCCAAGAGAACTTATCTTATGAAGAAGTACCAGTCGGTATCACGGACCGAAAGAGCAGGATACTCCGCAACCAGGAAATATCATTTTTAAAGGTCGTGTGGCAGAACCACAAGCTAAGGGAGGCTACCTGAGAGCTAGAATCAGATTTTAGAGCCCAGTATCCCCATTTGTTCGACCAATAGTAAGAGTCAAATTTGGAGGACCAAATTTCTTTAAGGGGGGGAGAGTTGTAACACCCAAATTTTATTATTTTATTTTTTTAATTTATTTTAATTTATATTAGAATTTTAGTTTAATTTTTTAATATTTAATTTATAAGGTTTTAATTTAATTTAATTTAATTTAATAAAAATAAAAATAATAATAATGATAAAATAGGGTAAAATTATTTTTGGGATTTAATTGAAATTAATTTTGGGAAAAAGGGGTGAAAATTTGGATTCTGTGGGTGTTTTTGAAAAGAAAATCAGAAACCGGGGGGTCAAAACATAATTTAGGAAAGTTGTTCCACGTCAGCAGCCCTGGCCAACCAGAACACGCTGCGTGGCAAGGAAGCTGACGCAGGAGGCCACGCGGGACGGAGCCACGTGGGCGATCCGTGTGCACGCGATCGAACGGTCCAGATCTCACGCGTGCGGACGGCCTAGATCTCCGCGCATGGACGGCCCAGATCTCACGCTTGCGGACGGCCCAAATCACATCGCGATGGACGGTCCAGATTTATTTCCATTTTAATCGCGATCGGACGGGACAGATTAAATCGTGAAGGACAGCTGAGATTAAAAGGAAAAGGTTATAAATAACCTCACCGACACCTGACCCTAAACCCTAGCCGCCAATACCCTCGTCGGAGAAGAAGAACCAGTCACCGGAGGAGCCGGCCGCCTCCACCTGCCGCCGCACCGGAGTGTTTTTCAACCACCAAACGAGGTAAATTTTCTCCCTTTGGCTCATTTTTCGATGCTAAATTTTTCTATAGTCAAATCGGAGCCAAACGACCGGCCAATCGGCCAAAAAACAACGCCGAAGTCCAGCGGTGCCGCCGCGGCTTCCCTCGATTTTTGCCTGTGATGAGGCCCTTTCCGGTTCCTGTTCGATGCAATTTTTTGGCCCACCGAGGGCCCTAGGGTTGTTTTATCGCATGAACCAATGCAAGTTTGACCGAATTCGGCTGAAAACGGCCAACCTGAGGTGGATCGCCGCCGCGGGTAGCGGTGCCGTCGCTGGAGCACGGTGGAGCCGCCGTGCTGGAATTCCAATATTGGCCAAAAAGGGGCCTTGGGTCTGATTTGGGATTTTTTGGGACACGTGTAGGTACCGGTAGTGCATTTCAGTTTCCTAGGAAAAATTCAGGGAATTTAGGGACAGCCCGTAGGCACATTGAATAGCCGATTTCAGACCCCGAAACAAGTAAGAATTTTTCACCCTATCTCCTATCACGACATTAAAGGTTAATAAATGATTAAACGGTATTTTATGAATTCATAAATATGTATAATTAATTAAGATTGCTAATGGGGCCCGAACCTGATGTATTTGTCGGTCTATTTCTGTTTGATCTATTTTACAGTCTAAACGCAGCATGGTATCTGATGTGTTTATTTTATAGTTTCGTATGCATGAATCACGGTTTCGTCTATTCTGGTTTGAATTATTGGGAACCCGATGTTGTGTTGTTTTGTTTGGTGTTCATTACTGGTTTACGGGTTTGTGTATAATTGGATAATTGAGACCAAAAAAAATGAAAAAAGGTATGTGAATTCATAAATGGATAATGGCTACAGCCTTACTAGATATCCTGGGAGATGGTGGACGGACCGGGTCCATAGGGAATCCTACCGGGAATGTGGTCTCTCATATCGGACGGGGTATGGAGACTTTATATATTTTGGCGCCCATACCGGACGGGGTATGGGGACGGCCCTGGAATTAAGTTATTAATGTTAATGGTTCACGTGTAATGGGGACCCCCTATGGATCCCCATGGATACTAGTAAGCTGATAAAAGAGGAAATTTGTTATCTGATTATTGAGGTACAAAAGTATAACATGTGTTACGTTACAAAGTGTATATGATTTTATGATGGTTATAATGTCATTGTTTTCATATGTTATTTTCACGAATCTAACAGAGGTAAGTGGACAGTAAAGGTTTTTATTATTGGTAAATGAATTTATCATGAATTATGCTCCATTGATTGTTTTTATTGTTTTACAAACTTTTACTTCTGTGACAGTGAGATAGTGTGATGTCTTTACTGGGCTAGTGTAGCTCATTCCTTATTTAACCATTTCAGATCAGGAGGATTTGGTTTCCGAGCCCGTCCTGCAGGAAGACGGCGAGTAGACGTCTAGGGAATTCACAGTTTTATTTATAGCATTCATTACTAGTATTTACCTTAATTAGTTTTTTCTTTCACACGTTGAATACGTTTTTGGTTATTGTGTAAGGGATGTTTATCAGAATTTTTATTTCACTTCCGCACTTAGAACTTTTTAATACATACATTTCATTTTTATTTCCGGGGCAGTTACACATTATGTCTGGATTATCTCCTATATTAGGTGCTGCAACTGGATCATCTAACTCAATCATGGCTAAATTGTTGAAGAGATCGCCAGGCATGGCCTCTGAGTCATCAACAGGATCTAATGCCATCGCTAAATCATTCGATGGGTTGTCCATCATTATTATGTTGGGATTGGAAGAGTCTAGGTTACAGAAGCTATTCAGGGGAGGAGTTGAATTAATACTGCTGGAGGCATATTCATGAGTTGGGTTACTGGGCATACTAGGCATGGGGAGAGTCGTCAAGGCCTTCATTGCTGGATGTGAGTAAAACATTCCGTCATCCCTTGGATAACCCTCAGCGAACTCGAGTTACCTTGTTCCTTCTTTAGCTTCTTTGCAATTAAGCAACATCATTCCACAAGCATATTGAACCTAAATTCCCTTTAATGTATTTTTCTTATTCATAGTTCATTTAATTATTTTCTACTAAATAAAAAATTTTGTTCTTATCATTGTCGTCAATATGATCTTATTCAACTATTAATATGTCATTCATTTAGTATAATGCTAGAGATAAGTTCAATTTTTTAATCATTAGTGAATTTTAATTAATTTCATCGATATAATTTATATGTTTATATATTTTTCATGTTCCAGTCTTCTTATTTAGCTTCTATCATTGGATCCATTTGTGAACAAATTACTACTTCTACTTGATTTAACCTGAGGAAGAAATTCATCCTTGGTGCATTAATGATCATGACAAATACAAAAATGAAAAGTATACGTAAGCGTATAAAACCTAATTCTCTAATATTGACTAAAACAAACTAGTGTTTAATAGTTAATTCTTTTTTACGCATTTCACTTACAACAATTCATATAATTATTTTTAAGTAAATCAACAAGTTAAGCTTTATCATGGTTAGTGAGGTGATCTTATCCAACGACTAATATGTCGTTCATTTTGTATAACGCTAAGGGAAAGTTAAAAATCTTTTTACCCTGAATAAAATTGATAGACTCGTCGATATGATCTATTTTTTTTTTCAGTTTTTTTGTTCGGTTTCTATTATTAGATGTATTTATGAATAAATTAATGCATCAAGTTTGGTTCAATCTCAAAGAAGAAATTTATTATTGGCATGGAAATGATCATAATAGCCATGATCTTGGAACATAAAATGGAAAGTTTATGAAGATTATATATAACCTAATGCTCTTACATCATGCACAAATTAACTAAAGTGAAATAGTTCAAGAGTTTTTGCCTTCTATGCATTTCCCCTATTAACATATCATTTAGTTATTCTCAAGTAACTCAGAAGGTTCAATTTTATCATGGTCAGAAAGATGATCTTATCTGATAATGAATATGTCATGCACTCGGTATAATGCAAGAGAGAAGTTAAATTTTATCATCATTATTGAATTTGACATAATCTCATTGATATAAACAACGTGTCTATATATTTTTTATATTCCAGTCTTCTTCTTCTGTTTTTGTCCTTGAATGCAATTTGTTCTTCATGCATATCTGTTTGTGTTTCATAAGGCTTCAAAATGTAAACAATATATCATAATAGTATTGCCATGTTAATGCATCATTTAGCAACCCCTTCCTATTTCTCTTTCACTTTTTTTCTTTTATTTAATTTTAAATCTATTAGCATGTTTTTCTTTATCAGCATCCTTTGTTGCTCTCAAGATTAATTTTTCTCTCAAAGTTGAAAACAATTTAGTTTTAGTGTACAAAATTAGTCTAAAAATATCTTAATAGTAAATATTTTTAAATAAAATTTTAAAACTGAATTTCACACTTATATGCTTTGACTAAGCATCTGGTAAGAAATATGTTTTCTTTAGCAGAAAAATGTCATTCTTTGTTATAAGTTTTTTAAAAAGTAGTAAGTGAAGTATACAAAAATAAAATCATCATTAATCAAAATTGAATGGGTCACATGAACTGGGAAGTAGAGTCAAATTCTCCCATATAAATATCTATTGGAAACTCTAGTTTAGAAATATGTTCAGACTGAAAACAGGAGAGATTATTGGTTTTGGATTGAAAGATCTTTTAGCTTATGTGGATTGACTTCTGATGGTGCTCGGGTGAATCTTCTCAGCATGTTTAGCCACATTCTTCTTCAGCTCATCGAGAGAGGCCTTCAATTGTTGAAGTGTGTTAAGCTCATATCTTCCTTGGGAGCCATCCACCAACAATGATTCTCATTTGTCTTTTTCATATAATTAAGCTCCTCGCCTCGCTTCATCTCGATTTCGAGTTGGTTCAGAACCTGTACATGTAGTAGAATTAATATATATTATTTATATTGAAAATGTTTTATTAGAAATGAAAGAAATTAAAATAACCTGAGTGTTGAGATTACAGACACTAGCGTTCCAATGAGCCTCAATGAGTTTCATGGTTCCAGAAGTAGCTTATGGTGGATTACCACTAACAAAACGTTCCAACACAGTCTCGACACAAGGATGACCAAAAGAAAAGACCTTTTGACCGGGTGAGAAGACGATAATAGCAATCTCAGCCCCACATAGAGTGCTCAATTCACTCGCCTTCTTGAAAAGTTCGGCTCGGTGTTTGGAGAAAGTGACTTGGAGATTGGTTTCATTATTCATCTTCACCATCTCAACCTTTTGTCGTCCCTTACTCTTTCTCGCCATGGTTACAAGTATTGAATATGTGCAGAGAGAAATTGAAAGAGAGACTAATGGAGAGAAATAATTGTATTGAAAGAGGGAGAATTGAGTGATATTTATAGGAGATTTAAATCAAGGTTGTGAATTAATAAATTTTAGGTAGACATCCTGTACATATTTTCCTGTATTAATAAGATACATCTTTAGAGTTACTTGAGAATCTTCTCTTTATTGAAATATATGATAGGAAAAATCTAGACAATTAAAGTTAAATTTTAGCTGTACTTTTATACAATTTGCAAAATCATCATTGTTTTAGCATTTATAGATACATAGCTAGATGGATATATATGAAAATTGAACCTTCTTGAAAATTTTACATTTTTTATGTTATATATATGTATATATATTCTCGATATTAATTTGGCATTGAGAAGGTAAGAGAGCTACTTTTAATTTTATTTATTTGTCTCTTGTTAGGAGACACAATGAATCAAATTGCAATAATAAAAATCCTTAGATTATTTATGTTAAAGTAATAAACAATATAAAAATGTATTATAGGATATATTAAAATTTAAAAACTATGATGAATTCTTTATGAAATTAATTGATCATTAGTACAAGGGATAATTTTAATTTATTTAAAAGCATTAAGGAAGGATCTAAGTTGCAAATTATAACTATCAATTGGATCACATTTAAAATTCAAAGTTTTAAATAATTAAATTTAATTATGA